CTTGTAATAAAATATACGGTATTACAGAGAAGTCAACGAGCGAAGATGAGGTGCTTCTCGTGTATGTATATGAGAAGAAATTATGTTGGCAAAAGAATATGACATTGTAGCAAAAAAAAAAGAAAAAAAAAGAAAAGAAAATTTGGTTGAGATCGCATCGTTAATAATAATTGAATAACTGAATTGCATTCGATAAAATGCGCGGCAAAATTAAAATCGGTGGATTTGGCTGCAAAAAATATATAAGACAAAAAAAAAAAAATATCACATGAAAAATCTGAAAAAAGACACAGGAAATGTAAGACACATTACGAGTAGGATAACGAAATCATTTTTTCGAGCAATAGACACGATTTCTCATGCTTCGTAACGCAATAATTCCTTTTCATCGTAAACGTGGAAATATCGTGTACAATTGATTACGTGTGTTGGTGGTTGATGTGTAGTGTTCGCTAATCAAATACATTTTGATCAAAATTTATATATTTTATTTTCGTTTGATTTATCGCGAGACTAAAATTTCGATTTTAAAAAACAACTTTCCAACGTTTCCTTCGCGAATTGACCGATTTGAAAATGAAAAAAAAAAGAAAAAAAAAAAAAAAAAAAAAAAAAACAACCGAAAGAAAAGTAGCGGCAAGCAACGCACGGCAAATATATAAATTATATCTCGTTCGTTTTTTGCGTAATCTTTCTGGAACGTAGTGCATCCATGCGTTACACGCTGCGGCGCATCGATTACGCAACTATAGAGCACTAGAAGCGCTGTGTAGACAGAACGCAGTGAGAAAAGAAGCGGCCTTCGCTGTACGTCTCAACCATTTCCACGGTTTTCTTGGTGCCAACGTGGGAAAGGAGTATTGTTACACCAACGACACGATATTCGCTAACGATATTCTTTACACGAATCTTCTCGCGATCATACGCGTACGTATACTTTGGTCGCCATTTATATACCGACGTTAACGACAGACGTCAAACAATTTCTACATGTATATTACATGCTTCGATCGATATAATATCGACACCGACGTTACATATGAAAAGGAACAGTTCTTTTCCCTAACGAATATAACGAATAATATTCGTCCGTCGTATCGAATAAATTATATATATATATATATATTCACAAATATCGAAACATGTATTTTGAATTATCTATCTATGGGATATAGAAACATTCTCCAAGTCGATGAAATAAAATTTGCACTAACCTTCGCCAGGTTTCCGATCGAGTCCACCAGCGGACGTGGCTCGTTTCTTGCTGCCATCGAGCTCCCTTTCGGAAGACCTCCTGGTCAACGGTTGAGCGGCGGAGAACATCATGACATTGGTGGTGGACGTTGCTCGACGGGTACCCCAGAAAGTGGAACCGCCGGTGTCGGCCGGCTCCAACATCCTCGGTGTCGAGCTTCCAAAAGCGAACACGATGTGCGACCTCTCGTTCTTCTTCTTCGCCTCGATACGCGCCTCCCTCTCTTGGTTCTTCCGGAGGATCGCCTCCCTTCGTTCTCTTTCCGCCTCGCATATCAACCGTTTCCTCTCCTCCACTTGGTTTCGTCTGCGAATAGATGGATGGGAGAGTGAATTTTTAAAAGAGGATTTAAAACCACCTCTATCTCCCTCTCTTCCCGTTTCTCAAGGAACACACGTACTACGAGGGGCACGTACACGAGCGCGGAACAAGTTTATATATACGCGTTCTCGTCTACGTAATAGGCCGTGCGATTCTTTTTTTAGACGGGGAGGAAAGCGATTTTGCCGCGGGTGAACTTTATGCAGGTGTCGCGGTAATTTCCCAGGCTTCTCTGCGGTGGCGAAACAGTTTAGCCCGGCATCGTATTAACCAGGTCAACTTATAACCTCGTAAAGAGCACGTAATCTCGTAAAGAGCGTTTAAACACATTAATACGGTTCCCGGTGTCGTTTTAAATTCGCGTGTCATAGATTGAAGAGAGAGAGAGAGAGAGAGAGAGAGAGAGAGAGAGAGAGAGA